GATCGCAACACTAACACCAGAAGGCATCCGATTCTGAGCCGCCATTTGGTGGCCGAAAGCGGCGACGACTGGAAACGGATCCGATCTATAGTGACGCCGACGTTCAGCTCCGGGAAGATGAAGAAAATGTATCCAATGATCAGACAGTGTTTGGACGACTTCGTCACCGAATTAGACGTTTACGCCGACAACAAAAAGGACGTCAATATAAAGACAATGTATGGCAACTACACAATGGATGTGATCTCTTGTTGCGCTTTTGCCACCAAAACTAACTCACATAAAGATTCGTCACCGAATTAGACGTTTACGCCGACAACAAAAAGGACGTCAATATAAAGACAATGTATGGCAACTACACAATGGATGTGATCTCTTGTTGCGCTTTTGCCACCAAAACTAACTCACATAAAGATCCAAACGATCCGTTCATTATAAACGCCCAGAAAGTGTTCGCACCGGCGATGTCTCGCATATTATCGTTGCTTTTATTGCCGGCGTTTGTGTTAAAGGCTTTAAATATGAGAAGTCTGGCCGAAGAGTCGGCCAACGAGTTCTTCTTCAACATCACTCGACATATAATGAAAGAGCGAAAGACAAGTAACAAGAAGTACAACGATTTCATCGAGTTATTGATGAACGTCCAGAAGGATAGCAATACTAAAAGCAATGGTAATAATAATATGAAAGATGCCATTCATTACGACGATAACGATGTCAGTGAAGCACATCATGTGAACGAAGGTATTGACTGCTGTTTATCGCATAATTGCTTATCTATTTAGTAAAGTGTTCAGTGGTTTTGTTGTCTACTGTACTTATAAATCAGTCGCAAATTATATGCATTTTAGTTTATAACCTATTTATCAATCACTTTATGTTTATATTTAATATATTTCTCTATTTATTGTTTATAATTATTAGGAGAGGAGGAGAAAGAAGTGGAGAGAAAGACATTAAGCGCTATCGATAAGTATATAACCGAAGATGAAATCCTGGCGCAGTCGTGGGTCTTCTTTGTGGCCGGATATGAGACAACGGCCACAACATTAACGTTCG